CATGGCTTCCTCCAGGTGCGAGCTAGCAACACATCAAGAAGCTTAAGCAGCTTGATGTCTCTTTTCCTTATCAAGTTGACTAGCATCGCCCCTTGAAGGGGTCTGACCACAGGCATGCCCTGCAGGTAGTTTTTCATTGTACGTTATTTCTCGCTCTCGACAATGTCTTGAAGGCTGCATTCGTAATCTCAAATCTATCTTCCCGTTTCATTGAGAAAACATTCTTGAGCAAAAATTATTTTGGCTTTGTCTCATTCATTACTCTTAGGACATCCACTCATTTTCAATACAATTTTTCCTCTCCCCAAAGCTCGGTCATAGCCAAATCCACATGCATCCTTCCCAGGTCATTCCTCCCGGCCTTTCTCAGGTCCTGCCAATTCTGCATGCATATCATCCTCTGCCCTTTCTTGCCCTTTACTTAATTGGTTTCCCATGTGCAATGCTCGGTTCATCCCTTGTGCATTTATTTTCCAAACATCTTGTCGGACCTTTTTCTCAAGCCCCTGCAAACCAATCACACAGCCATTCCCCAGCCTGCCAGTTCTTTTCTCAAGTCCATGCAGAGTCAATCATACCAGCTCTTTTCTTCCTGGTTGTCTTGCCAGACCCTTTTTCTCAAGTTCATACCATGTCGCTTGCTCAAGTCCTTTCTGTCCTGGGCATCTTGCCCGGCCCCCTTTTCTCCGGCCTATGCAAAACCAATTACAAGTCTTTTTCTTTTCTGGGTGTCTTGCCAGACCCTTTTTCTCAAGCCCATGCAAAGTCAAATACATGTCTTTTTCCATGCGTATTCATTGGTAGATGGCACACTTTCCCCCCACTCAAAACGCGATGTCCCCATCGCGCGACTGGTTCTCATTCGGAGGTACGAGACCTTTGGCCCACCAACCGCAGTCAAGGACACAAGCCCGTCCGCTTCACAAAAGGAAGAGTGATCAGTTTCTCCCCAGCGAACGACGCCTCATCCTCCTACTCGGTCCGACCTTTGTTCTCTCACGTGGCGAGCACCAATATTGGGGTTCCTCCTCACGTCTGGCAGGCAGGTCCAATCCAAGCCTTCCAGGGCGTCGTCTAACCGTAAAAGCATTCCTCGCGAATCGTTCCTCCCGAGTGGTAATTTTCTGGATCCGGCCTCTTCCTTTCAAGAGAGTTGGGGCTCTCGATCAGTCCGCGAGTGCAGTTACGAAGACCTCGCAATTAGTCCCGAAACGGTTGTAATGTTCCGGCAGGGCAGTGTCAATGCCCCGTGGTGGTGGCGGACTCCACCCGGTACCTCGCCGGCCTCTCCCCTTGGACAGTGTCGCCCAACTTAGCGCGGGCAGCCGTGGTCCGACCCAAACGGCCATGCCACCCCTCTATGACATGGCGTGTGGTTGGAAAGTAACAAAATAGACAAGATGAGAATGACTTTCCTGCCCATTTGGCTCTCTCGCCCTTTGACGTTTACGCGTTCAACAGGAGGCGCAGTTGGAACTTCCCGACTAGAGCTCATTGTCGGAGGTGGATCCGGACGTCCCGCACCGATCCAAGTGGTGGGTGCCTTAGTCCTTAAACCCTCATCCTCTTACAAGAGGAACAGGTCGCGCTGAGACTTTTTCCCTCAAAGGGATAGAGGTCTTTGGGGTCGCGGTGCATGCGCCGGTATCCCCCTCTTGCTGAGACCACGGAGTAGAGGAAAAGAGAAATTTCATTTCAAGGCTCTTTCCAAGTCCATTTCCAGTTGCCTAGGGTCCTCTGTTTATGCAATGCCTTTTCCAATGCTCAATTCAATTTCGATGCTCAGTCTCATTCCCAGGCTCAATCTCAGTCCAGTGCTCATTCTCAGTTCAATGCTCAATGCAATATCCCTTCCACGGCTGAGTCCAATATATCTTTGAATATCTTTTCCAAGGCTCAGCTCTTTCAATCTCTTTTCCAAAGTTCCGCTCTTCTAGTTCCATGCATCACAAGCAGCCATGCAAGGGGACCCTAGTGCCAATTCCAAAGAATGACCCGTGTCAGGGGCCATTCCGAATAACCTGGTTAAGGTCGTTCTTTCCATTTCCAAGTCGAACAGCGTGGTTAGGCCATTCTTATCCATTGCAATTGGACAGCCTGGTTAAGACCATCCTTATCCATTTCAATTGGGCAGCCTGATTAGGGTCATCCTTGTCCATTTCAATTGAACAGCCTGGTCAGGGTCATCCTTGTCCATTGCAATGTTAGCGCCCGAAGGGGTGGGCCTCGAGGACACGGATCCTATCTCGTCTCGGGGGTTAGAGGGCGGCCATCGTCTTGGGTTTTTACGCATGCTTCTTCATTTTCCTCATGTCTTTTGTCATTCTTACATCCATCCATACATCTGATCTAGCGTCTAGTACTCAAGTTGAGGCTCGCGGCCCCAAGCAACACTACCCCGCCCGACCGTTCACCATTGCAAGGGGTGTTGCATCATTTCAATGTTTCCCTGTGACTTTTTTGACTTCTCATATGTTTCTCAATGCTCTGGGATTGCCTGGGGTAGGTTGGATTAGGCTCCTAGGGGAGAGGGTGCCTCTCTACCCGTAGGTCCCCTAACCTCTCACAAGGGCTCATGCAATGTCTCATTCAGTCTTGGATACACAATTTCAAAGAAAAAACTCTCGCCACGATTGCATCTTCCAATGTTCAAGAGTTCACATGCCCCTGCCTATTTTCTCGAGGCAAAGTCAACCATCCCCAAAGTCCGTTTCTTACTTACCAAAAAAATTCCCATTTTCCCCAAAGAAGCGAATACTTATACAAAGTAGCACAAGCCTCCCAACCCCCACTAGTTTCCTCAATCCAAGAGGTAGTTTCATTACAGTCCTTCCCAAAAAGGAGGAGAGACAAAGTTCGAATGCAACGACAACATTACAGACTCGTCTCATGTAGGTCCCCCCTTTTTTTTTTTTTTTTTTTTTTTTTTTTTTTTTTTTTTTTTTT